CCGTGAGACAAGATGGCATTCCGACTTGCGTCCTTATACTTCAGTGTGCAGATAATTCGGTTCAGCATCAGATATTTTTAGTCAACAAGTTATTCTGAATGAGAATGAAACAATCGAAATAGGGTACAATATGTGTACAAAAATCCAATGTTTGATAAGTCTCGTAGGATGGTTTGTATGAATTACAAAAAGGTTACGGAAAAGTGAAACATGAGTTTGTGGACTCACCATAAGCTACAAGTTAACACATGTATATCCGTCTACTCAAAATGCGTGGGAGCCGCTAAGCACAATATTTGCCTTCTTCTTGTCGTCACTCAGTGAACAGAAATCAAACCAAGTAATGCATCATTGAGCCGTGTGTTAAAAAGCGGTAGCGTGGGCGTATAAGTGCCAAAAATGGAACGAGCGTTCCGCGGTTGGCAAATTCTGGGAGAAAAATAGTTCTCATGGCGGTCCAACCCATTGTATTGGGTGGTCAGTTTAAGCTGCTGGCCTGTTGGATTTTTTGTTAACATTGATTTTAAGGAGGTGGCGGTATACGTGACTAAGATTCGCAAAATCTGATACGCTAGACTGTAACACCGCAAAAGGCGATTACTTCCACTGTACACTTCCAACATGTTGGTTCGCGGTTCTGGACACCTTCAAGCACTGCTCCGAACAGCCGAGGTCGTTTCGCATTGCTACCCTAACGTTGAGGCAAACCAACTTACGGAGGCGTGTCACAGAATCAAAACACTTCAAACTGGATAAAAGTATTGCATTCTCCTCCGTTTTCCATTTGCGTTTGTCCACTCAAATGAGAGAAATGGGCGTAGTGCGCATTGGATGATGTAAAATGGAATAGACATTTGTATTGTCGCCTCACTGAATCCGATTTTGCGGGTCTCCTTCTTGCTCGGTTCTATGTCAGCGCTATGGCGGTCACAGCTGCGACGAAATTGATAGCTCGAGGCGTGAAACTTTTAGTCCATGTGCGTGCGCTCGTGTCAACCGTGAAAATTTATGCATGTCATCCCACCCGCAAACTCCCACTAACCCATTCACGCATGTTTATGCTAGCGTGATCCGAACGGATTAAGTCACCTTTCGAAAAACAAGGTCACTATTTGATCCAGAAAAATAACAATGGCGCCAAGTGGATTGCCGGTAGGCGCTGGTGGTGTGCACATTTGCGCTTCTCGCAATAACAACAGGATTGTTAAATTAAACTTTCTTCTATGCGTTTAGAGGTGGTACCTGTTAGAGTATAGGTCACCCACTTGTTTGGCCAGCTTAAAGTTATTTCGCATGGCTCTAAGACTGGAGGGTAGGTGAGTTATGCAACAGTACCCATAATTTGCACACAACCTAAGCGGAACACACAACGACGCCTTGTTACAATGATAGCATCTTCTACAGCGGATCCGTGTTGTCCTAAGAGCGAACGGGTACCAGAACAGAATAATCCCTAACCATTTTGAAATACACATGAGGCAACTTTGGAGGATGGTGCTTAGGAAAGAACACTTTGTTCATTTATTAGTTGCGGCTGGTTGCCATTTATACCCTATCCAAACACCTGAGAGATGCTGGCAGGAAAATTTATTTTCTGAGCGGCCCGCAAACGGAATACTACAACAAGGTCATAATTGCGAAACGTTTCAGTGATAGACTAACTTCGTTAGTCATATTACCAGGGGCCTACTTCATAGGATCCTCGACCATATCCAAAATGGATTTGCAAAGCAGAAGTGCGGTCTTCTAATAGCTCGATTATGTCACTCAAGCTTTGAAAACGAGTTCAGGGTCATGTACTCGAACGTTTCTCGCGAGGATACTGAAAACATATCTTAGTTCTAAGTAATGCCGCCTGCAGCCACGACTTCATACAAGGCTGTTCATACAAAGCGGTTCGTATGCTCAATCCTTCTCTTGGAACCTACACTTAACCTTTGATATTTATTTGAAGGTTAACTCAGCTACCGTTTGAAATGGTGTGAGGATGGCGTACCTAGACACGTTTTCCTATACTTCCACACTACATACATTGCCACTGTGCTTCAACGAATCGATCAAAACATAAACACCCTAGAAATACTCAGCCCAAATCGTCACCTTTGTCCTAAAATCCCTACCATGTAACGTGTTAGTTTGATGAGAATTTCACTAAAAAGAATTTTTTTTACTGAAAACTCATTCCTTACGTTGATTCCTACTACTATACATGGGAAGATATGCCTACGCTGCCATTCACACAATGTAGTGAAGTGGAGTACACCGCTTACTCTACCACGATGACAAGACTCTTTCGGCGGGTTCAGTCACAGCTGACATCACAGAGGCAAGTGTAACCAGTCAGAATACTTGTGTAATCCCGGACACGAGTAGTCGCTGTTTGTGTCTGCACGACAGCTATGTTACAGTTGTATGAGCTTCAAGTAACATTACACTTCCAATACTTGCAAGTTTCTGGCCGTTTTTAAACAACACACGCACTGGTTTGGAAGCTAAACGGAGAAACAGGTAAGTGTTTTGAAATCGAGTAACTAGCAGCCGTAAGGAGGGAAATGAACAGTTTATTTCTGTGCAAATTTCATTGCTAACCTTGTATGAATGGGGATATAAACGCGGAGATTACAGTTATCAGACGTCTACATGTATTCACAGACGTTCTGTTTCCCCGGTTAATTGGAGAGCCAGCTGACTCAGTGACGTCGTCCAGCACGTTAGCAGTTGCTGCTAACGATACAAATGGTTGGCGGCATCCGGTTTCGGATTTGCCTGTCACTGCGGCCTCCACGGGGACAGCCACAGGACGCCTGCGTCTACAGACGGATCATTGGTGGTTTGCGCTGCAGCACCCAAAGCTCCAACCACACACCCCATATCCAGTGTAAACCCGGAGGAATAAAACCGAGAAGCATGTGGATGACAGCCAGGTTTCATCAACGGCGCCGGCCCACACTCCTTCACAGGCAAACACAAGCACGCTGTATTGGGGGAAATCAAGCGCACACAAGGCGGTGACTGGACCGTAGTCCGCTCCACACTGAGTGCATGGAACCACTCTTTGATCCTAACACGGCCACAAGGACCGTGCACCCCGTCCCCTTCATCAACGACCAACTGTCTCCTGGAGCCAGTATGAACGAGGTAGTGGGTAATAGACAGGTAGGCACCTTGTGAACATGCACATCAAGCGCAGCCACACCTGGGATGTTAAACAACAGCCAATCACTTGAAACGACAATATGAAAAAATAAGTCGGATAAGGCACGCAGGTACGGTGACATAACTCTTCACTAAATGGGCGTATAAAATAAATTGGGTACGAACGAATAGGCGATAAGTTCAAGACGACAGAAAAACTATTTTAAGGAAATGCTAAAAACGCGAAAAGTTTATTGAAGTTAACTACAGTTAGCTTCAGTGACGTGTGCAGTTTTATATAAGATAGTTCCGGTAGACAATAATATGAGAAAGAAAAGCATTAGGACAACTTGAAAACCCACCACTGCAGGCCAGCGTGACCACAAGGACCGTGCACCCCGTCCCCTCCAACAATGGCCAACTGTCTCCTAGAGCCAGTATGGATGAGGTAGTGGGTAATAGACAGGTAGGCACCTTGGCAATGTGCACATCAAGCGCAGCCACACCGGGGATATCTAGCAAGTTATCGAAGATAAGCGCAATTAGCGTAAGCAACATGTGCAACTTAGCTGCAGAATATTCTGGTAGGCATAACAAACCAATTAAAGTGGCACTAAATTTATTCAACCTAAAAGGACCTAGTTTAAGTGTAATTTGGTCTAGACCAACTGCGGTGAAGAAGCATCATGAATACAACATCAGTCTCCGCGTGGGGCACTAACGATATATATGCATCTAAGCCTTTTCGCACAAACGTATTGTCGTAACTTACTCCCTCATGTGCGGCCAGGAGAACCGTACCGGATCCTGTCTTTGACAGCGTTTATACAGCTAGCTTTGCTACTTGCAACAATTGTTGCGCTTTGCTGGCCAGCCGGCCGATGAATGAAACGGAAGAACAATTGGCACATTTGTGATGCCCATTACGTATGTGAAGCGCAGATTTGCCGGTGCACCGTTTATGTGTATACTTCGGCTAGTTTGTGTTAGCCTTGCTAGAAGTTTCCATGATTTCACCACTAAATGCACACCAAGTGACCCACCTTCGTCATCGAAAAGCGAAGCATCAACTTGTGAGGCTGTTGTATGATGCGGGCCAAAAGGATAAAGTTATCATATGTGGGAGTTGTCAGTGTCTCGACAAGTGTCGTGCAATCGAACCTTCCTTCCAACTGTTGCTGTTTTGTGGTGATACTGGGGACACAATAAAACTCTAACTATCGGAGTTGCTAAGCCGAATAGCCGAACGGAATCGAACTTGTGCGATTCAGTCAATATGATACAATTCTTCAAATTAGCTTTAAGCGGAACTCCGATTAAATTTTTGTAGAAATCGTTTATTCCCCATTGGTTCAGTGTCATCAAAATCAGTACAAATGTGTCGAAAACTAAATGATCTAGTTGATACTAGCTACCTTTTGCTCTCAGCATAGCCAAGTAATGCCAGTTTCGTTCTCTTGGACTCTTTGTGTAGAATAACTAAAGCTATTGCTTGTAGTCAGGATGTGTTTTGCACCACTAAGCGATCAATGTCAGACGGAACGGTTGTCACGGAGGTCAGCAATTCCCCGTTCGGTTTTGGCTTAAGTACAATTGAAGTGGGGGCATTGGTAGCACTGCCGATGTTAAACATTGTATTACACAACCACATTAGTCTTGGTTAAGCGTCTCCACCAGTGTCAGTGAGTGAAATTATCATCGTTTAATCTTTTTATGATGTACTATTTTTGGACTTTACTTTCCGTGATGTTTGCTCAGTTGGACAATTGCAACCTTCTCCCTACCTTTAAGAAACGCAATATGCACAGTTGATGTATTAAAAAGTCAACGGTAGATTTCAGTTTGAATTTATTTTCTTTTCCTCAATGTGCTGGAAAGGAAAGTGTCAGCATCGACCAAACAAGTACCGTCTCAGTGGTGTTGGTGGTGGCGGACAAGTCACTAACGAGGATTTCTTATCCCCATCTTCTGAAATTGTCAATGATGAAGAACATATCGATGAGGTTTCCATTAACGGACGCGAGTTCTACCATGATAGAAGGTATGGTAACATCAAAGCAAAGTGTTTATCAGTTTGGTAAATTCGATTAGGCTTTGAAGTTTCTCACAGTTCTCCTGCAAAACTACCCTTGGGGGTATACGATTGCCAACAAATGAAATTGCAGTGATGAAGATAGAACACAATTAGAGCACCTTCAGCTCCTACAAGGTCGTGTACGCAACTGGTGCTTCTTTGAAAGGAACTCGTTAACGGGGACACTTGACCAATCAATTGGCAATAACGTTTCAGTAGTGAACAATGATGGCGTATCAACGGTTTACTACTTAAATGGCTTGAGGAAAAGTTGTGTGAATCCTGTCAATATTCTGGCGTTTCAGGTTATCGTGTTTTGGTAATCAAAGCCACAACATTAATAATCGGTTAGATTTCTTCTGCCTTCGACAGGCTATCCAGAGTTAAATGATAAAGGTGAGCTTATCACAGCTGGAGTCAATCACACAACTAGCACATTTGATGAAAAGCAGACGATGGTTACTTCAGACTTTCGGGAATCGTGAGCAATGCGCATCCCATCTGCCGGTTTTGGGCCACGGTCTGCTACCATTACACTTATTAGGCCATGGTTAAATTTATTAGTTGCTGGTGGATGCCAACGACTGACATGGTTGAGTCACTACAGGTGTTATAGCACAGTTCACTCAGTACCGACTAGTACGTCAGTGCAGCGCAAAAACAAGGAAGTTCCACAACTCAGGACCTTCTACTCACAATAACTTTTACGAGTACTGATTATATGAATTATACATTGTTTGTGTTCTATCCCGCACAATGGAACTATAAAACCAGAGATACTACGGCACCTAGTTTTAACACAGCATTTATGCCCCCCACCATTACTGAATACTGTATTGTAGAGCAAGTAGAAATGGATTCTGTACAACTCTTTCGAAATATGGCGAAAAACGTTATAAAATTTGTCAACCTTGAATATCATTGTCGTTCTCATGTAATATTTAAAATATTCGACTTACGATATTTCGGGATTCACAAATGTGATATGTCATCGTAAGTGTGCAGTCGTTCTCTGAATCGAATAGAGGCAAAATACAAATCTAACAACGTTTTGAACTGTTGCAAAGATGTTGCCTCAATCACATGTTCGGGCAAAATATTATCAAACTGCATTTTATACTCTCAACAAATTTCGCCGCACCATGGATCCTAGCAAGGGAATGATCCTCTTCTAATTGTGCACAAACCACTCTGTTGTTCCTGCATAGCCGGAAAGTTTATTCGAGAAGAATAGCGCTCCGGTCACTTTTAGACTTATAAACTGTTAACTGCCTGTGTTGGCAGCGTTATCAATAACAAATGCTTCGGTTTAAACACAGAGGGAAGGCTATACAGATCGATGGTCAATGCCCGTCATTTCTACTTTTTGCCCCTGATTTTGAAGGGTCAAAGATTGTGTGTTTGTACATATTCAATAGAAAATTACTGCTTTCTAATAACCGTGTATAGATAAAATACTATAATGAGTCTGACTTTTCGAAACTCCGAACTATGGAAGTGGCTGCCGGATTGACTTCATAATAGTTTAGGCCACGTTTCCTCGCTGGCTCTACTAGTTACTACGAGTTATATGAAAGCAATGGAAGACAGAAAGGGTGCCGGAGTACTTTGCTGCCTCAAACACTCGTGAACTTGATTGGGTTTGTATAGGGATCAAATCACTCCTGCGTCCAACAGCATTCGTGAATGGTAACTTTAAGTCGCTGCATCACAGATCGAACCAGTAAGCTTAAACGTGGAATACCGGATGCCACTGTGGATTGAAGTGCAACTCCTCACCAAATTTCTGGTATGCGAATTACCATAAAGACCTAGAAGTCAAGGACGATTATCCTCTGGAGTTGCATGTGCAACACAATTGGAAGGTGATTCTACAAAATTAATCTGTGACTTATAAGCCGCAAGCCCTCATACGCTTTCCCATCCTCTGGGAATATTCACACCACTAGACTGGCAGTAAACTTTACCTAACTCTGGACTTGCAGGTGCGTAGAGGCGTTCCATCACTTCCCAATACTCGCACTGACTCAACACGTGATGCCGATTCCGTTGTCGGGTGGCATGAGCGACAAACCGCCCCTTGATTCGCCGTTCGCTCGATAAAGTTGGGACATTCGGACTCAATTCACAAGATGAAAAAGACAGAGATGAGGCTGTATACTCCGGTTACGCGCAAACACTTGAACCAATTGGGACAAGAGGAGCTGGAGAGAGCGATGTAAATGTGAAAGTTAGGCGGTCTTCGTCAGGTAAGAGATTTCCTTTCTTACCCTCATTCTCAGCAGTGACGGCGGGGGGAGGGAAACGGTTGGGAAACTCATTCGCCTGCCCATCTAATGATCGGCCAATCGACGTGGAATGTTGGCTGAACGAGTTCTAAGGAACGTGTGGAGAAGGGAAAACTGCGAACCTGCAAAACTTGTGTAAAAATACATAGAACAAAGCGTAACTTTACCTCAAAGACAAAAGAATCGTCCAAAGGAGGCAACTCACTCGATATAACCATGATAAAGCAAGCTCAAGACAGAGCAGGACAATCGGAGGAAAGTGAGTCCTTTTTATGTGGGCCAACAATGTCGTGCATTGCTTTGATAGTCTCATCTTGTTAATGTGAGAATTAGGGATACACTAAGAATTTGTAGGTATGTCCTTTAAGCATGAATGACTTGTCGGAAACTACTAGGCGCTCGATTTTCATATCTCTGTACTTTTAGCACTCAAGGTCTACTAATCGATGGTTAGTTAAAACGTCTTCCCCCTAAAGTTACGCTCACCAAAAACGTCGTTTTAAACATCCAGCTTCAGTTTGATCTACCATCAAATAGTTTACCCATAATATTAACGAACATTCCGACTGTGCTCACTATTTACATTTTCAACGCATTTGAGAGAATCCCTAAGAACTGAGTAACCTTAGGCTAAAATTTCGGCAGGTGCGAATGCAAAGAACTACAATTTGAGACCGTCGTGACACGTCACTGCATGGCTCTTAAATTTTCTGATGCAACAGTTCGCATCGGTAGTTAACGGTAATTCCAGCATTGCTGCTGCTGACTTGTGATAAGTGGCAGCATCGGGAGAAAACCTTACTTGCGCGCCAGAACACTAAGCCTCCAGAGTGAGTCCATACCATTTAACACGTAATAAATATAATTAAGTGGAGTTCGTGATGATGCTTCAAAGAGATAAAGGCCAAACTGTAAAAAAGTAGTTTAAATGTAAGGGATGCATGGTGCCGACAGATAGAGAGTAGTTGTCCAGATAGTGGATTTTATGTCATGACGGTCGTTTTGGTAGCCGGAGACCTTTACGACCATTTACTTGATTTGAGCGCAACTGGTTGTGATATACATTTTTGGACTTTCCTAAACGTAGCATAGGTTTTCTGAACCCATCCCATCTAGTAGCCAAGACAGTGTACTGGAAAATCGTCAGAATCAAACTAAATATCACATGCACAGTAAGATTGAAAGAATGGTACTGAGGGGTGGGGAAGTCTGAGAACAACAAAACAAAGGTAATTGTGTAAAGTTACATCTTCTTGACAAAAAAGACTTCAGTGCAGTGAGAATCTCGTGTTTCTGTTTCCCGTCACTGCAGCCCGCGACCTGAGTCGTCCTTGATTAGATTCGTCACTTGGAGTACTTTTGGAAAAATTTGAAATCAGTACTTCCCTTTATAATTACGAGCAGAAAATTTTGAAGACACAGCTTGTAAGATAATGTCGCAATATACGTATTACAATTTCCCTGTTCGTCAGAAAGCTTGAGTTAGGACGGAACTTGTGGCCTACTGGCTAACGGCAGACGCCTTGATCACTATGTCACTAAGAATCGTGAGCAACGCCTGGCACGTCGGGTGAGAATTCAGAGTTAAGGGTTTAGACTACACGGCACGAAGTCTTTATTGAGACCTCGGGTCAGTTCTGATGCAGGCCTCGATCATTCAGATCACATAAAGCTGATCCGAAATGGGGGGTGTTTCGGTGTCACTGCTCACAACATTGACACCCCAAGACCAGTCTCGTCCTTGAATGGACTCTTTAGCTAGATAGCTTTGGCTTGGAATGGAAGTACGATGCTAATGGGTAACGGCTGTCGCTTTGACCACTACGCCACAGCTCCATGTGTAGTGCCAGACACAGCGGTTAGAGGTTCATTGTTAGATCTTAGAGTACCTGCCTTCTTTGCTTTGATTAGAACGCGCAAACTTGATTGGGGCCGCGACTTGCTTTGAAGCAACCCTCTGCCATTTTGCTCCCTAAAACGGCATCCTAAGTGGGGGGTTTTCTAGTTACTAGTACTGTACCTCATGATCGCTTTCATGCTGCTTTGTATTCTTCACTTAGAGACAGCCAGCGCGGAAGTGAGCTCAGCGCACAGTGGTTGACGGCTGACGCCTTCAGCATTAGGTCAATGAGCTGCGCGAACTCAGTGGTTACATGTGATTAGGGATACATACAGTAAGGTTTTTTTGTAACTATAAGGTCAAAAGTGTCCTGGAGAGTGGGTTGCTGTATATCGGGATGGAAATCTTGACAATTCCGTTTTCTAACCAACCGAACGGGGCTACAAAGTTTACCTTGAAAGGTAATCTTGTGCACCATGTGCTTGTCTGAAGCTTTTGTCGCCAAACAGTGTCACGGAAAATGTGAACTTCTGAGCCGTTAAGTTGACTGGATTAGCGATACAGATTTCCTTCTTTTGGAAACCGGATTTTAAGGTATTCGATACAGTAGTCTGTAGCGATAAGTTCTCTGCAGGAAACTTTCTAATACACACTATGTTGCTTGAACTTCAGTATAACACGTTTATACTGATCAAATAGCCTGAATTGAATGGACGCAAAACAAGCTAACACCAACTGACAAGGAGGCATATGTTAGCTGCATGAATGCGACAAGCATCCGGAGCTCGAACAATTCAATAGTCTGAACTGCAGTGACATATTATAAACGTTGAAGTGCCACTCTGGTTTGATAAGTCACTTGCTATCACCGGAAGCATTAAACCAGCGCCGTCAAGGATGAGGTGCATGGCCGTAAACACAAATCTCTGAGTTATTTTCTATATAGAATGGCTCAAAACATCGAAGCTTTATTCCCGTAGGGGAAGGATAAACGTGAACCATTAAACTATAGGTGAGATAGATGGAGCCCAAGCACCGTTTGTACAAGAAACAGCTCTGTGTTGGGTACGAAGTATAGTAACATTTAGTGACAACACTGAGATAGTATATCATATTTCAGTATCATCTTTTTCTCAATATTCAGCTATGAATAGTCATACTCATTTATTAGCTCCAGTAATCCAAGTACATCCACTGTGAAAGTTGAAATGATTCTAATGAAAAAATAAATATTTCGAAGGCTAACGGTTATGAAGTCGTAACAAAAGTAAAGCTAGCGATTAAGGTCACATCGAAGCTGAATTTTATCAAGATACCAACAGAATTTCGGAGGCCCAAATATCACCCAATGCAATATTAAGCAATTCTAATAATTTATCTCAGGGTGACCAGTCCGTATCTTTCTGCTCTACTTGATTTTCATGCATACTGACTATGGTTAAATAAGTAACTAGGTAAATAAATAATTAAATATTACCGTGAGAAATGCTTGGCAATTTAATTAATGTTAGCAAAGGAGTTTTCCAAAGATATGCAGGAGTCTTATAAGATTTTTGGAATATGAAGCATGGTGCCCACTCTTTCTGTGCTTAGGAAGCGATTGATTTCTAAGTTAAGTTACAAATTCTTAAGAGTTCTTAACCTTATAAAGTCTACGCACATATAAGTAGAGTTTGGGAGCACATGCCTTGTGTGACGAACTTGAAATTGAGACTTTTGTGGCGAGCTCTCGGCACCTT